TTTTTGGGTTTCCATCTCATTAATCTCTGCTCTGAGTTTTATTATTTCCTTTCTCCTGTTCGGGTTGTGCTCCTTTTTTTGGTCCTTCTCCAAGCTCTTAAGCTGTGAGGTTAGGTTACTTATGTGTGCTCGCTCCTCCTTCCTGAGGAATGCTTGTAGAGCTATAAACTTTCCTCTTAACACAGCCTTTGCTGTGTCCCATAAGTTTTGGTAACTCGTGTTCTCATTTTCATTCGTTTCTAGGAATCTTTTGATTTCCTCTTTGATTTCCTGTCTAATCCACTCGTTGTTCAATAGTGCACTGTTTAATTTCCAGGTGTTTGATTTAGTTTTCTGTTTTTGTGTGTGATTTACTTCTAATTTCAGCGCATTATGGTCTGAGAAGATTGTTGATACAATCTCTACCTTCTTAATTTTATGGAGGCATGTTTTGTGGCTCAGCATGTGGTCTATCTTGGAGAATGTTCCATGTACGCTTGAGAAGAATGTGTATTCAGCTTTTTGTGGATGAAGTGTCCTGTATATATCTACTAAGTCCCTTTCTTCCATTGTTTCCCTCAAATGAAGTATGTCCTTGCTAAGCTTGAGTCTGGTTGATCTATCAAGAGGTGACAAAGCAGTGTTGAAGTCTCCCACTAGTATTGTGTTGCTATTGATGTCTTTTTCCAAATCTATGAGTAGTTGTTTTAAGTACTTTGCTGGTCTCTCATTAGGTGCATATACATTTATTATTGTAAGTTCTTCCTGTTGTACAGATCCTCTGATCAATAAGTAATGGCCTTCACTGTCTCTTATGACCTTCCTCACTCTGAAATCAATGTGGTCTGATATAAGGATGGCTACCCCAGCTTTTTTATGGGAGCTGTTTGCCTGTAGGATTGTTTTCCAGCCTTTGACTCTGAGTCTGTGTTTGCTTTGACTATTGAGATGCGTTTCTTGCAGGCAGCAGAATGTTGGGTTCAATTTTCTAATCCATCCTGCCACTCTATGTCTTTTAATTGGTGCGTTTAGCCCATTGACATTGAGAGAGATTATTGTTATGGGATTTTGTCCCATTGTTATGTTAAAATTGGGTGTATTTGAGGGGCCTTTCTTGCCTTAAAGTAGCCCATTTAGTTGTTCTTGTAACCATGGTTTTGAGTCTATGAAGTTCCTGAGCTGTTGTTTGTCTGTGAAACTGTGTGTTGTTCCTTCTATTATGAATGAGAGTCTTGCTGGGAAAAGTATTTTGGGGGAGGCATTTATTTCATTGAGTTTTTTTACTATGTCCCACCACTGTTTTCGGGCCATGAGGGTTTCATCAGAAAAATCAGCTGTGAATTTTAAGGATGCTCCTTTGTAAGAGATTTCTTTCTTCGATCTTGCTGCTTTCAGAATTTTGTCTCTGTCTAAGGTTTTGGTCATTTTGATCAGAATGTGTCTTGGGGTATTTTTATTCGGATTTCTTCTAGCTGGTACCCTTCGGGCCTCCTGAATGTGGTCACAAGTTTTCTTCAGCTCTGGAAATGTTGTAGCAATGATGTCTTTGACAGTTTCTTCTTCATCGAGGTTTTCTTCCTGTCCCTCTGGGACTCCAATAATTCTTATGTTACCCCTCTTGGCTTCATCACGATCTTCTCTTGCCATCTGTTCCCGAATTGTGAGTCTCTTTTCCATTTTCTGCTCTTTTCTGGAGAGTCTCTGAACTTCATCTTCGAGCTCACTGATTCTGTTCTCAGCCGCTGTTACTCTGCTGCTGAGGCCTTCCACTGAGCTTTTCAATTCGCCTACGAGATTTTTCAGGTCTGACATTTCTGACTGCATTTTCCTCATTTCTGCCTTCAGATCCTCTTGTCTTCTATTGGCATTGGTTTCCATTGATTCTTTTAATTCCCTAAGCATCCTAAGTAGTTCCCTTCTGAATTCCTTGTCAGAGAGGTTGTCTAACACTACAGTACTGTTGGTGTCATCTGGGCTAGACTCTTCAATATGAATGTTTGGTGGGCTTTTGCGTTGCTTTACCATTGTGAGAGGTGTGGTTTAGTCCTTCACGTTCAGTGTTACTATTCTGCTTGATATGCAGTGTGAGTTAAGATAGGCTTATGAGTTATTGGCAACTGTATTTCTAGTGGCTGAGCTAAAATAGAGAAGTTTCCATCTAAGAAGTTAGCTTATGGTTCCTATGGCATATGTAGTGGGAAAATATTTCGCGGCCGCGTTAGCGGCCGCGGCTCCGGAAAGAGTCCCTGGCACTGGGCGAGGAGTTGGGAATGTCTCCTGTTTGGAATTGGAGCCGTTCAGCTTTGTTGCCCAGAGCTGGGCCTCTGTGCCCGTCCCACGCGGCTCAGGGGTTGAAAACCGGCTGTCTCGGGGCTGTTTCTAGCTGCGCGTGCCCAGAGAGGAACCCAGGCCCTTGGGGGCGGGCTGTACCTGTTGGAATTGGAGCCGTTCAGCTTTGTTGCCCAGAGCTGGGCCTCTGTGCCCGTCCCACGCGGCTCAGGGGTTGAAAACCGGCTGTCTCGGGGCTGTTTCTAGCTGCGCGTGCCCAGAGAGGAACCCAGGCCCTTGGGGGCGGGCTGTACCTGTTGGAATTGGAGCCGTTCAGCTTTGTTGCCCAGAGCTGGGCCTCTGTGCCCGTCCCACGCGGCTCAGGGGTTGAAAACCGGCTGTCTCGGGGCTGTTTCTAGCTGCGCGTGCCCAGAGAGGAACCCAGGCCCTTGGGGGCGGGCTGTACCTGTTGGAATTGGAGCCGTTCAGCTTTGTTGCCCAGAGCTGGGCCTCTGTGCCCGTCCCACGCGGCTCAGGGGTTGAAAACCGGCTGTCTCGGGGCTGTTTCTAGCTGCGCGTGCCCAGAGAGGAACCCAGGCCCTTGGGGGCGGGCTGTACCTGTTGGAATTGGAGCCGTTCAGCTTTGTTGCCCAGAGCTGGGCCTCTGTGCCCGTCCCACGCGGCTCAGGGGTTGAAAACCGGCTGTCTCGGGGCTGTTTCTAGCTGCGCGTGCCCAGAGAGGAACCCAGGCCCTTGGGGGCGGGCTGTACCTGTTGGAATTGGAGCCGTTCAGCTTTGTTGCCCAGAGCTGGGCCTCTGTGCCCGTCCCACGCGGCTCAGGGGTTGAAAACCGGCTGTCTCGGGGCTGTTTCTAGCTGCGCGTGCCCAGAGAGGAACCCAGGCCCTTGGGGGCGGGCTGTACCTGTTGGAATTGGAGCCGTTCAGCTTTGTTGCCCAGAGCTGGGCCTCTGTGCCCGTCCCACGCGGCTCAGGGGTTGAAAACCGGCTGTCTCGGGGCTGTTTATAGCTGCGCGTGCCCAGAGAGGAGCCCAGGCCCTTGGGGGCGGGCTGTACCTATTCTAGTTGTTTTTTACAAGTAGCTTAATGTTGTCCTCATGTTTACCATTGTAAATGTAGATAGTTAGATAGTGTTGTACTTGTAATCTACATTGTAATGTAGATAGTTAGATCTAAGTAGCTATCCTTTATGTCTTGGATATTTTCCAATGCCTGATACGGGTTCTGGAAAGAGAATGCATTTGTTGAATGAAATTACCTGATCAATTTATTAGCCAAAATGTACTGATTTTTTGCCTTTGAGACACTTTGAAGTTATTTCTGGAAGAAATTCCAATTAATCCATTGACTGCCATGCAGGGGAGCAAATGTTTGGCATGTACACGCAGTGGGCATGGTGGTAATCAAGTCACTGAACAAAACCAGGCCAGCCAGTTCTTTGGCAACATTCTTTCATCCTTTGAAACTCTGTATGTACTGTGACTACTGTGACCTGGCATCACAGGAATTTGCTGTGTATAGATCACTGAGAATTCTTTGTAATTTCCTCTGATGCCCCTGGGCAATTATATATATATATATATTTCATAATAATAATTAAGGAATTTAATAGCCATTGCTATTGGAAAATATTTGTTTACTCTCATTGGGATCCAGGGTGCCATCACAACCGTAGTGTGAAATGCCTCCCTGAAATGACAACATGAACTGTTCAGATCCATCGGTATCTGAGTCCTTCAGGCTGTTGGTCAGATCATGAATATGAGGCTGGACTCAGCTAATCAACAGCTTTTCCTAGATTCAGGCACATGTTTTCTTTGAACCAATATATGAACCGTCTTTTCTTACAGTTTTCTTTTTGATTCCTTATTTTATTAAAACTTTCTATTCTTAAGTAGTAAAGATAACTTACATATTGCTGTTGCACATGGAAAAATTAAGAAATCAGGAATCTCAGTGGTATGATGAAAACAGTTCAGTATTGAAATTTTAGGCAAGAAATTTCTAATACCTTCTTGTTGCTTCAGGGCAAGAGAACCCGTAGAGGGATCCAATGAGAGGCATAATCTCCCATTCGGGCAAGCAGCGCATTAGTCTAGGGATAAGTGTCAATTACCAGCTCACTAGTAGACCTGAAAGAGTCCTGGGGCATGAACTTTGAGACAAGTTTCTTGGCTAGACTTGCAGGTCTTCCACTTTCTCACCCCATACATCGTGCTTTACTCATTCATAAATAGGAGATGGAAACCTGCTCACCATGAAATGAGTTGAGATATGCATATATTTTATATAACTAACATTTGGCATTCTGTGGAAGGCAAAATTAAAATCTAGGAAAAGAGAAATAAATGAATGAGGAGGAAAGGGAAGAGAATAATTTCTTCTCTATTTTTGATGTTATCGGTCCTTTTCGTATCTTCATTATGAAAAAGAAGGGGGGGGGCTTTCTCCTATATCAAAGCTGTGTGTTCCCATCTAAGCAAAACCAAGACTTTCAGACACAGATCTTCATTCTTAAGATATTATGAAGATTCCTACTACTATTCATGCTATTCAGAGCTATTGGGGGGGGGTGCACAAAAAGTCTGACCTATTTGTGTGGAGAGGAGGAGAATGAGATACTAAAGGTAAAGGATATTCTAGGGGGACAAACTGGACAGAAAGACAGAAATATTCTATTAATGAGTGTGCATTTCAAGTGAATGGATTTACTGAACTTTTTCTCATTTTTTCAGCTACTACCACCACACAATCAAAGTGGAGAGACCACTTCTCTCGGTGCCCCAAGCAATACAAGCATTATTGCCTCAAAGGGAGATGTCGGTTCCTGGTGGCAGAGCAGACGCCCTCTTGTGTGTAAGTGGAGCACCTTGAGCCCATAAGCAATAGTGAACAGGACAATGGTGCCGCCTCAGACCAGGCTGTCTATCAGGACACAGGTGCTGATACTGCCACGGACACTTTTTCAAGGCCTGTTCTGTAACCATTGACGGAGAAACTGTACAGTTTCCCCCTGCTTGCGCGAGTCCAGGTACTCTTGCAGGTGGGGCTCTTATATAGTTTTTGCTTTATAGAAGCAAAACTGTTTCTGCCGGTGGTGATACTTTCAGTGTCAATCATCTAGGTGGTTCAAATGACAACAAATCCTGCTGGCCTCATTTAGGTGCTTTGTATTTTTTATGAATATGAAGGAACTTCTGTCAGATGAAAAGCTGCTTTTGTATAAAGCATTGTAGGCATTGTTTAAATATCAGGAAATGAATCTTAGTTATAAACAAAAATCTGCAAAGTTTTGTTTAATGCAGCAAGGAACTAGTATATAAGTTCTTTCCAGCTTATAGTAGATAGGGACCAAGTTTAATTCTACACTGCACTGTAGCACTGTCATCCTGTTGTTCATCAATTTGCTTGAGTGGGCCCAGTAACTTCTCCATTGTGAGATTTGTTGTTACTGTGTTTGGCATATCGAATACGTCACGGGGAGCTTGCCAGGCTTTGCCGTGTGGGCGAGATACTCTCGGTAGCTTGGCGGGCTCTCTGAGAGGGGCGGAGGAATTGAACCCAGGTTGGTTGGGTCGGGGGCGTACAAGGCAAACGCCCTACCCGCTTTGCTATCGCTCCAGCCCAAGTTTAATTCAGTTAGGCACAAGTGTTTTAATGCAATTTTTGTTTATCTCTTTGTTTGGAGGGCTGAATTTGACAGTGCTTGGGGATTACTACTGGCTCTGCACTCAGAGATCACTCCTTGGGGGATGTATATGGTGTTGAGAATCAAATCCAGTTGGCCATGGGCAAGGCTAGTGCCCTAGTCTCTATACTATCACTCTGGCTTTTGGGGGGCAATTTTTAAGTAATCATTTTCTTTTAAACAGATATCCTTCTAAAGTGCCATCTGAGACTCTATTTAAAAAAAAGCTGGGTGATTTTTAAAATATAATTTTGACCTACAGTTTATAGAATATTTAAATTCTGGTGTGTAGTTAGTTCCTCCAGAAGATTTTCATTCCCATATCTCAGGACTGTGTTTCTGAACCTTAATTCAGTGGAATGTATAAGATTGATGGGCCTCTTCAGTCTGTTAATGTGCAGTTAAGTTAATTCCGTGTTTTGCCTCTTGTGAATAATGTTGCTCTGAACATAGTGGTACAAATAGCCTATTAAGTTTGTGTTTTTATATTCTTTGAATAAATTCTTATGAGTGGTATTGCTGGGGCATATGTGATTTCCATTTTTCTCTTTTTAAGAGATGTAACTCAATAGTGTTTTAAGGTGCAACTCAAAAACCAACTCCTTCTGGAGTTCTGCTTTTTCTTCAGCATTTAATAAACACCAACTAAGTTCTTGCAGTTTTCGCCTCTTTCTGTTTCATATCAGAGATGTACACACTGACTGAAAATAACCATCATCTGATTTATTTTTGGTTTGATGAAAAGTAAAATAGCATGAGAGCCATATAGCTAGCAATGTTATGGTTTGATCTAGCATAGTTATATTGGTTTGTAACTTGCAGGAATACTACTTACTAAGAAATTCAGTTAAAGCATAGTTAAGTCATGGAACCATGGAACCTTCTTCTGAGGTATAGACTCAGGTGTCAATCAGATACCCTTTCTGCCAACTAGTCACATTCTAGGATAGCTCTTTCACCTGGGACACCTGTTGGTTTCTCTGAATGTTCTTTCAAGAAATAAGTGCTTCTGGAAAGAAGAGCCTTCTTTTGTGTTGGCTTCTTCTTTTTTGTCTGTGTGATGATGCCAAGCACAGTATCTGAAAGTTACTAGGTAATCAAAGAATGCCTCAGGGGAAAAATGAATAAATCAAATAATATATTTCTTTATCAAATCTCAACAATAAAAACAAAGACCTTAATGTGAATCAGAAACAAAATCAGTGGTTGAATAATGCAGAATCAATAGGAAGATCACTGAAGGGTATAGAAGTCACAACAAAAATTTTGGAGTCAGGTAGACACATGTTTTTATCAACAGTGTTAACAATGGGTCAGTTATCTTCCCGAACCTAAATTTTAACTTCTATAAAAGGGGATAATGTCTTTCTCTCAAGTGTTGAAAATAAAGCAAAATTCTGTGCTAGCAAAAATACCTATTGTGGTCCCAGACACAAAGTAATTTTTTCCTGAAATTTTAAAAGATGAATAATGCATCAAGCTGAGTGGATATGTTCAGTCTTCAAATAGTACAAACAAGAACTCTCTTGCTTTGGTAATTGTTCTACCTTGGAAAACCAGAGAAAATACTTTCATTTGAAATCACAGAAGTATATAAATTCCTGATTTTACATAAAAGATCAAAATATGCTTTATGTACCTCAAATTTCTGATGAGTATTCTCAGCATTCTCTTGGAATGAGAGTGGTTTGTTCTCAGATAAATAATCTTTATTTGCTTAGTATACCTCATTAAGCAGTGTTACATGTGATTAAGAGCATGAACATGGTAGCTAGAATTTATGGTTTTTGAGTCTCACTTAACTTTTTTTTATAAACTTCAGTTGTTCCATTTATAAAACTAGGGTGAAATAATTGCACCTATCTCAAAAGTTGTTATAAGGATCAATTGAGTTTATACTTATAAATCTCTTAGAATATTTTCCGATGATTATTTTAGACTTGCTATTCCCAATCTAACTTGGCAGAGTCTTCAAGGGATATAAATGTCTTTAAATTTTATACAAGTTTTATTTTATCAGATGCTTGTTAAAGAAAAAAATATTTATTCAGCATTTAATAAACACCAACTAAGTTCTTGCAGTTTTGGCCTCTTTCTGTTTCATATCAGAGATGTACACACTGACTAAAAATGACCATCATCTGATTTATTATTGGTATGATGAAAAGTGAAATAACATGAGACTCGTTATAGCTAGCAATGTTATGGTTCGATCTTCTAGCATAGTTTCATTGGTTTGTGTCTTGCAGGAATACTACTTACTAAGAAATTCGGTTAAAGCATAGTTAAGCCAGGGAACTAGAGCTTTATAATTAGAAAAACATTCTAAAAGAGAGGGAAACAATTATTGTGTTTTTTTATGGAGAAAAAAAGTCCTATTTATTTAAAAATACCATATTTTGTAAATTTGTTCATGAACCTTTTAAGATAATTAGAATACTATATTTGTAAGATTTTTACTAGCACTTTAAAAAATTACTCAAACACATACAATTAAAAATGAATCCTGGGTACTGGAGTGATAGTACAGGGGGTAGGGCACTTGCCTTCCACACGGCCGACTCGGGTTCGATTCCCAGCATCCCATATGGTCCCCCGAGCACCACCATGGTAATTCCTGAGTGAGAGTTAGGAGTAAGCCCTGAACATTGCTGGATGTGACCCAAAAGGCAAAAAAAAAAAATCCTCCTTCCCCCCAATTCCATTCCAATATGCCACATATCCTTGCTACTCCTGCCTATTATTTTGATCTTACAATCTTGAAGGAAGCAAAATTCTCTCAAACTTCTCAGAGTCCTTTTACATTACATGCCATTAAGTACTTTTTCTCCTTTGCTTGCACTGAACTGCACTTTTCAGTTTTTATTTTTATATCATTTCTAACAGCACTGAAGGGCTCTTCTGGGTCAGAGCTTAGGAGATTGCTCCTCCTGAGACTAGGGAGAAATCCAGGTTTCCTCCATTGAAAGCTTTAGCTCAGTCCTTTGAGCTGTAGTCCTGCCCATGCCTCACTTTTCAACTGATAGTTGTGATTGAACTTTTATCTTTTATTTTTATTTTTTTAAATTTTTATTAGAGAAACACCATGAGGTACAGTTGTAGACTTACAAACTTTTGTGCTTGGGTTTCAATTATACAACGATTAAGTACCCATCCCTCCACCAGTGCCCATTCTCCACCACCACTAATCCCAGTATCCCTCCCACTCCCCCATCCCCCCCATCTCACCCTGCCTCTGTGGCAGGGTACTCCCTTTTGTTCTCTCTCTCCTTTTGGGTGCTGTGGTTTGCAAAAGAGGCATTGAGTGGCAATCATGTTTGGTCTATAGTCTACTTTCAGCATGCATCTCCTATCCTGGGCGGCTCTTCCCAACACCCTTTATTTGGTACTCCCTTCTCTATCTGAGCTGCCTTTACCCCTAGAGTATGCAGCTGGCCTCCAAGCCATGGAGTTATATTATCAGCTACAATTATGTCATTAGAAGATGTCCTTACTTGAGAAATACAAGCTCTGTTGGAATTAACTGGCTTAGCTTTATCAAACATAAACTATAGAATAACCTGACAATAGATTCTTTCTTTTAAAAACTAAACACACTCAACAAAACATATCACTGTTAACAGCAACCACAAAATACGATTGTACACAATTCTTTTGAAGATGTGTCATTTTATCTTTTTGAGATTTGAATATCAGTATGAACAATATCTCCTTGTGTTTTGAATAAGTGTGCGGAAGAAAAAGGGGAAATGTTGGTTAATTCAAAAGTATTGATGTCATACATATGTTTTAAATTTTGAAGTGTCCTCAGATCAACTTTCTTTGTACTGGTGAGCATGTGAAAAAATAACATGAGATGCTATAAATAGTCCCCATAACACTAAGCCTTCAGCTCATTAATTATTGTTCAGGCAAGGCTTGGTTTGGTGAAATGGATCTATAACCAACTTGGGCTATCTGCTGGGTTGAGTTTAATCCTGAAATTGTATTGAAACAGAATTAAGAGAATGAGGGAAGCAAAGTCATAGCCTCACTGAGAGAACTTGCTGAGTTCTGCTCACTGATTTCATGAGGCCCATGGAAAAAGGGGAGAAGAGCATGTAGAGGAGGTAGACGAATGCTTTATGAATGTAAAATGGAAGCTTTAGGTGATCAAAGAAACAGAAAATGCCATATAGTCTAAGTGTTTTTAGCTACAATGGAAATATAAATTCCCATCTCTCTATTTTGCCAGTGTACTTTTTGTTGTTGTTGTTGTTTTGGGGAAAACAGTCAGTGTTGTTCAGGGGTCATTTCTGGCTCTACACTCAGGAATTATTTCTGGCTGTGCTGAAGAGCCCAGATGGTATACTGGGGATCAAACTTGTGCCAGCCACATGCAAAGCAAACGCCCTACCCCTGCTGTGCTATCTCTGGCCTGGGTAGTGTACCTTTTTATTCAAATTGTTTGATCTGTCCTTGATAAATATTATGTTGGAATTGCACACAAGCCTTTTACTCAAAAAATATCCACAGGTCATGCATGAATTTCAATTATTTATTTCTTCATTGGGCTAAAGATTAAAATGAATAAAATAGTTCAAACAATGAGAAAAATACTGGAAAGGCTATGACTTACTGTGTCTTTGAGGAACATGGTTGGAGATAAATTAGGAACAGAAGAGCATTATTACCTAATCTTGTCTGTGATTTCTCCAAAAGTAGAACTGGAACTATTAGGTCTAAGGTACTGAAAGAGAAGGAGGTGGAAGACAGAGGCAGAGAAAGATACTATAGAATAGCGTTTATGAAGGTTACTGTCTATTGTGTGTTAAGCTCTAATCTATGAACTTAAATAGATTACCATTTGATCATAATAAAGCAGAGTAGATCTTTCTTTTTGGTTTTCTTAGAGGGACACATACTCCATAGTGCTTTGTCTTGCTCCTGGTTCTTCATTCCCCAGAATTCCCCCGAGCATCACTCCTGGTGGGTCTCAGGAGACCCTCTGTGGTGTCCTGGATTGCATCCTCACTGACTGCCCTCAAGACAAGCACCTTACCCATTGCATTGCCAGTCTTTCCGAGAGGAAAGACCCATTGCATTATTTTTCAAATATGCAATAAAAGATCTGGGGCATGTCGAGGCTGTTTGCATTGCCTTACAAATAAATAGAAAGCCTGGGGATTGTTTAGTTCCTTGTCTTGGAGGTATTTAAGAGTGGAGAAGTGCTAGGAAGGGAATTTTATCATTCCTTCCCTTTCAAGCTTGGAATCTAAACTCTCAAACTGAATTTTAGAATACTGTCTTCATTGCTGTTTGTTTATATTAGGCATATTGTTAATAATATCCAAGTGATGACAGGTCTCAAAGTGAATCAAGTGAAATTACTCAGTGCACACAATGGTGTGCAGTTTTATAAGTTTTAGAAAGAGTTGTGTCCTTTATAAGTGCTCAGAAATGGAAAGTCTTAATATTTATGAAAACAATATCAGATATTCTTAAGAATCTTATTTTTTTTAACTGGTTGCTTTCTTGTTTTATTTTTGTAGCTGTGAAGAAGGCTATGCTGGGGCGAGATGTGAGAGAATTGACTTGTTTTACCTGAGAGAAGATAGAGGGCAAGTTGTGGTGATTTGCTTGATAGCAGTAATGGTGTTTTTTATCATTCTGGTGGTTGGTGTCTGCGCATGCTGTCAGTAAGTATTTAAAATCTAATAGTAAGTAAATCAGACAAATTGTATCTTCATTTTATTTTTTTTCCTTTTTCCTTCCCTGTTACCTCTTTTCTTTTCTGCATTGATTTTAATAAATCTCTTTCAAGAATTGCCATCTTTTGGGCCAAAGCAATAGTACAGCAGGTCAGGTTCTTGTCTTACACTGACCAGCCCAGGTTCAATCACCAGTGTTACAGAGGGTCCCTCAAGCACTGCCTAGAGTAACTCCTGAGTACAGTGCACAGAGTAAGCCCCAGTGGGTATGGACCCAAAACACAAAAACAAAGTCATTATTTTTGTGAAAATATTTGTTTATAATAAACAGATTCTTTTGTCACTTACTAAATATATTATACTTTAAAATAAAATTTGTATGAATATCCTGCCTTTTTAAAAAAGAAGGTGAGCACAGTGAATGAAAATGGTCAAAGGGGACCCATTTCCGCCTATAAGTAAATAATTTCTGGGAATGTAATGTATATCTGGTGCCCATATCTAACTTCCTGGTGACCTGGTGACCATAGCTAATGTATATTTTGGAAGTTGCTAATAAAGTAGATTTTAGGGGAAGAGGAAGGTTGGGTCATACCTGGTAGTGCTCAGAGATCACTGCTAGTGGTTTGGGGGTACTATAGGCAGTGCTAGGATTCAAATAGGGTTGACCATGTTCGGACCATGAGCTTAACCCCTATACTATCTTTCTAGGCCCCCAAAAATAGGATTTTAAGATTAATACAAGAAAATATTTTATATAACCTATTATGGTAACAGTATTTACTAAACTTATTGTGATGGTTATCTCACTATATTTACGTGTGTGTACATATACGTACATACACATCTATACATCAAATCATTTTGTTATACACCTAAAACAAATGCAGTATTGCATATAATTTATATGTAAATTTAAAAAACAATTATTTGATCTTAGTTCATTATATATTTTAAAATTAAGTTTTTTGTTTGCATTTTGGGCCACACTTGTCAGTGCTCAGGGATTATTCCTGGCTTGGCACTCTGGAGTTACTCCTGGCAGTGCTCAGGAGATCCTGGGGACTGAACTGGGGTCGACTGCATGCAAGGCAAGCTCCCTACCTACTGTATACTATTGCTCTAGCCCCACAGGCTGTGTATTTTATGTGACTTTGTTATTATGCTAAACAGATTTTACTTTCTTAAACTGTCATGATACAGTAATTTTGAGGGAAAGAAAGAAATACAAATGGTTTTTCTCAGTCACATTAAAATGAACTTTATTATAAAAGATGATTACATTTTTTATTCCCTATGCTTTTCATTGCATATCACAGCTTTGTAATCAAGAAAAATGAGACAAAATGACTTAGAACAGTTGTAGATAAATTTTGTTTTGGAGCCCATCATCTTTTTTTTTATTAGCTCAGGACTTCTACAGAGTGCTGAAAAATGAGCTTTCTTAAAGTGCCAGATTCCTTTCCTGTGAAGCTAGTCTAATACTGTTAATCACTGTGGGGCAACACCAGATGAGGTTTTAAAGCTCCTTTATTCACAAGGTCCTTGGAAAAAAACACTAACAGGAGTCTAAATAGTGTCCCAATTTGTCCCACTTCCACTGTTAACTCTCTTTGGACAATGGATAAATAACATCTTTAAATTTTAATTTCATTTTCTGCAAAGTGAGAGAATTAAACTATGAACTTTTTAGGATTCACTCTAGCTGTAAAATAAAATGATTTTTTAAAAAAACTTCTCTTCTTTAGTGCAAAAAAGTAGTTCTTATAATGCCAGGTATGGAACAGAAGTTAGAAAGGCCTATTTTATTACATTAGTATTTAATCTTACTTTATGAAACTGTATTGCAGTCCAGAATATTTAGCACACCTCTAAATTATTTTGTCTGTAAGTGTAATGAGCATATTCAGAAACTCACCTCATTCTCCTGTTGTTTTTTATTTAATGTCTGTTTTCAATTAGTACTGTTTGCCTTTTTTACACTCCAGCAACACATATTTATCTATTCTGTGAAATGAAACATTCTCTTGTGTTAACCAAATGGCATTAATAATCAGGTCCATTTCCTGTTCCCTATAATAGTTATCATTTGAGACTAGAGCTTACTTTGGACAACCTGGCAGGTTACCGAATGTAACCTGCCCACACGGCAGAGTCTGGCAAACTCCCAGTGGCGTACCCAATATGCCAAATACCAGTAACAATGATGGGTCTCATTCTCCTAACCCTGAAAGAGCCTTGAATATGGCACTTTAAAATCTCAGGGCTAGGACGAAGGAGACGTTACTGGGGCCTGCTCCAGGCAATTGATGAACAACAGGATGGTTGTGATGGTGATTGTGAGACTAGAGAAAAGGGTGAGTTATGGGAGAATCAAATGGCTTAGAAATAAGATCAGAAAGCTTTATGATGAGTCAATTCATGTTCCTGTTAACTAGCAGTTCTGTATTATTTCTAACACTTTATTTTCTAAGTCCTCTTCAGAAACGTCGTAAAAGAAGAAAGAAAGAAGAAGAAATGGAAGCTCTGGGTAAAGATACAACTCCAATAAATGAAAATATTCAAGAGACTAGTATTGCTTAATGGTAAGAATGATAAACTTAGTAGATAGATGTAAAACTATTCACGTGATTTTTTTTTTGATAAAATGAAGCTTAATTATCTCTAGTAAATCATTGATTGATTATATGTTTAAATGCTCTGAAAATAAGTTGACCTTTTATTAATAGAATCTCTGGAGGCAAATACGAGAGTTTCTCCTCTTTCTTTGCATGCATGTTCCCACAGAGATAGGCATTTAGGAGAGTGAAGTTTTCTATATGATTTATAATATTCTGAGATCAGTCTCCTTTCTAATTTCTAGGCACTGTAGGCACTGTTGAAATGGTTTTATTTTTTTCTCCCTTGTCTGAATGCAAAGAAGAATGTAAGTGTACGCATCTCATGTAGAAGGGCAATAACAGCCATGTTTTATAATGACCACATTTCTAAAGAATTTGTCAAATGAGAAACTCTTTAGATGATATAGTAAATTCCTATTTACTATAACAGTATATACCCAGTAGAACAGGTAGGGTGTTTGCCTCTATGTGGCTGACCCAGGTTCGATTCCTCTGCCCCTCTTGGAGAGCCCGGCCAGTTACCAAGAGTATCCTGCCCCCCACAGCAGATGCTGGTAAGCTCCCAGTGGCATATTCAATATGCCAAAAACAGTAACAAGTCTCACAATGGAGACATTAACTGACGCCCACTCGAGCAAATCGATGAACAGCAGGAGGACAGTACTATAGGACTACAGATCTGCTAAAGAAAAAGACCTGATAGGGCTGGGATAAGGGAACCCTGAGGCACACTGAGGCTCCTGGAGTCTGCTAGCGATAGCAGCTGCTCCACTCTCTCATTTGGAAGTGCTGGGGAAATGTTATTTTGGCACAAGAAGGACCCCCGGGTAAGCACCGTAGCTGTGGATAGAGGTAGCCATTGCTGAAATCTAAACAAGGAAGGAGACAAGGAGTGGAGAAAAAACACCTCTATTTTTTGCCTCTCTTCTTTAGATCTTTAGCACGTACCTCACATCAACCAGATCCAAGCAGAACCTGGAAGGCACCTGTAGGATGTAATCGGTCACCTCAGGCCCCTGTCATACAATCAGCCAGGGTTCCTTTGGATGTAATATATAGCTTCAAATCCAACCTAACCGGTTTAAAATAAAGGAGGGGAATTTGATTCACATGAACTGGCAAAGGAAAGGTAATCTTCACACTTGGTTAAACCAGAAGCTCCCAGACCTGACAACATTTTTTTTTCTCTCTTTCTGATCAGTGTTGGAAGAGTTGGCTTTAGTCTTGGTTAATTCCTCTTAAGTCAAAGCAGAAACCTGTAACAATCAGAGCCAGTAACTTCCTTGTTCACATGCCGGTAGAAGCCAGTGACTTTCCATAGCTCCCAGCAGGTTAGTGCAGTGTAGTAAATGCTTATGGAGAAATTATAATGTTCCCCTAACTTATTACCAAGAAAACATCAATGATTAGAAAACAAAATGCTGCACTGACTTTTTAAAAAGTCCTCATAGTACATTTGTTTTCAATGGCCTGATTAATATTTTTTTAATTTCTATAGATTATGAAAATATCTCCAGGCTGTTGGGAAGCTGAAAACTGCCTTATACTTTTGGAAATGGACAGAAGGTGTCTCAGGAAAACAGCTAAAGTGAACTGTAAAAAATGTGTTTACTTTTTGTTTGTTATGTTAATTTTTACCATTTACTGTTGCTTTTATGAACATAATTTGTAATTTTACTATTGTTTAGTTATTGGGTAAAATGACCCAGTTAAAAAGTGAAGGTTTAATACACTCATTTAAGTTTAATCAGTGGGTTTAATATTCAAATAAAAATGAAAAAAAGTCGGAAGGAGTTGAAATCTTAGGAATTGAATTAATAAACCACCATTTATCCAATACAGAACATGTGCTAAGAATGTAAAATATATTATTTCCTTTAATCATTTCTAGAATCTATAAGACATCCCCTGTATATAAGTCACTCACAGAAGTTAAATAGTCTAACCTAGATTTACAGAATTAGGAATTGACAGAGCCGGAATCAAAACCTATACTTTTATAAGTTTGGAGTTTGTGCTTTTAGTCATTCTTTTTGCAAATCAGAGTTGGACCAATCTGACACACCTGTGCAATCCAGTTTTTTTTTATTGATTTTATACCGAGTTATGTTTGATGTGACTGACATGCTGGGACCATTTTTCTGCAGAAACTTGAAGGCAGAGTTCTGTTCAATGTTCTACATTCATTTTTTTTTGCAATGTTGACTTCTATCGTGTATCTTTTATGCCTTCTTACAGGCAAGAATGAATTCTCTTGTGATTAAAACAAGCAAATTTGTTCAGCAGTTACAGTGACTGATAGAAATGGAATGTAAATGCTGGACTGTTGTCAAGCCCAGGTAGTGTTAATGTTCATGCTATAAAAACAATAGTATTAAAAAGATTTTCTTAAAGAGCAATATATATTACAACAGAGCCCCAGGAGAGATGCCATGGGACCACATTCTCATTTGCCTTTTCTTTCAAGCAGTACCTATGATTGCTCTCAGGGGGATTTTGGTGCAATGAAATCATGACTCGAAAACATCTATTACTTGGGGCCACTTTGTCAAATGCATTTTTTAACTCCATAGGATATTTAATAAAGACTCTTTCAATCCTGGAAAAACAACACATACATGTAGTCAACAAGAATCTATTCTGGATATTGTTGAGTTGGATCATTTCCAAAAACCAAGAGAAAATCTCATATTGATATATTTTGGTGGTTTTTTTTAACTTTTTAGTTCGCATTTCATACACAAAGAGAAATGAGGGAATCAGACCAAAAGTATAGTTGTATGTCACTTCCTGTCACACAGTGTGTTTAGAATGAAACTGTGACTGCGCTTAATATAATGTAAAAATAGCCCATATGTAAACGTAAAAAGCCAAGTTAGAATTATACTTTCCTAAGTATTATTTCCCTGACTTAATGGTCATCTATGAAACAGGGTTATATCCAGCTGAAAGATATTGGATGTGCCTTCTTTCCAAGTCTCTTCCTCAGCCCTTTCCTGCCCTTGCCTGTTGTCTTAGATACTAAGAAGACTTGAAACAAGTGCTTGTTGGAGCATTGAAAAACAAAACACAATCCTGAAAAAAAATTATTACTCAAACTGAGGTTGCTCAACCAATAAAATCTCCCAAACCAATTCCTGCTTAGGGATTTCTAAAAAGTTGATGGTATCTCTTGATGCTGTAAAAAACACTTAAATTTTCATATTTTTCAAGATATATTATATCATTGTTTTGCATATGTTAAATGGTTTTGTTCATGTAAACAATATTATCTTGCAATAAATTAAATTTATTTTTAAAACAAAATGGATGTTTATTTTGGCACTTTGACAACATGGATTATTGATTTGAAATTATATTAATTAAAATTTAATTCTTGTCTTATACCTCTTAAAACTTTATATTTTATAGGTGTAATCACTAATATATCTAAAATAGTTCATTTTAACCATAAGTTATCTTTACAAACTGAAAAATTAGCAAGTGTGGCACACAGACACAAATTTGCCTCCAAAACCTTGTTCTTTTGGGGGGACAGAGGGAGGCTCTAGGGGACTGTCTAGGCAAAATCAACAGTGGTCAAGGCTTACTCCTCTGCATTCAGGGATCACTCCTGGTCAGTTCTTGGGGCCATCTGGAGTGCAGGGAGATCAAACTCAGGTCAGCTGCATGCAAGGCAAATGCCTTATCTGCTATACTATCAGTCTGGCCCAAAAGTCATGTTTTCCATGTGTTTTTTTGTTTTGGGGCCACATCTGGTGTTCTCAGGATTTTCTCATGGCTCTGCATCACTTCTGACAGGACCCTATGCAGTACTTTGGTCCTTTTTTTAAAAAAATCTACCCCTAACTACATTTGTTTAATTAGATGGTGGCACTTAATGAAGTTGGACCTGTTATTAGGGAGATTGGGAACATGAACAGAAGTTGGCATTATGGGGCTTTGTGATACAAAACTGTACATTTTAAAACAATTGGTGGTCATGTTTTGTTCCATGTGGACCAAAAATATTTAAAGAAACTTATCAGAAACGAACAGAAATAAAACCAAAGTTTCCTAACAGTCTGTCTCCGTTACACATATTTTCAAAGTTTAGCTGAATTTCATTCCTTTCTGCGAGCTCCATGAGACATTATATTTATAATAAATTTCTCATTTGTTTAAGTTTGTTCCTGTAATCTGAAAACAAAATCCAGACCCACTCTCTCCCATCATGACATTGTGGCCAGCAATTTTATAAAGGGGAATGACATTGTCTGAAACATAATACCAAATTATGGTTTTCAAACATTGCCATAAATTTTAATAGAGGGACAGTTTAAGCAACAACATTTCATTTTCATCATACAGACATGCAAGAGGCTGACTGTGAGAGATAACCGTGAAGAAGCAGGAAGCTCAGAAAGCATTGGCACCTCCTTTATTCTAGAAACCATATCCCCTCCTGTGACAAATACTAAGCGGAATAAGGAGTGGCCCCTTCGAATTTCTTGGCTCCATTGTTGCTGGTGAAGCCGCAGTTGCAGTTACTTTAAACATCAAAGCCATAAATGTTAACACTATTGTAATCATATTAGCACTGCACTGTCCTCCCATTGTTCATCGATTTGCTCAAGCAGACCCAGTAATGTTTCCATTGTGAGACTAATCTTTGATAAGGGAGCAAGAAATGTGAAGTGGAACAAGGAAAGCCTCTTCAACAAGTGGTGCTGGCATAACTGGACAATCACATGCAAAAAAATGGGTTTAGACCTCAACCTAACACCATGCACAAAAGTCATATCAAAATAGATTAAAGATCTCAACATCCATAAGGTACATGAAGACAAACAAGGTCGGCAAAACCCTCCACGGTATTGAGGCTAACAGTACTCCACTGAACAACCAAGTAGAACCAAAGATAAACAAATGGGACTATCTTTTTTTTTTTTCCCTTTATTTTATTTTATTTTATTTTAAAGTTGTAGATTTACAATTTTTGTGCTTTGGTTTCAATTATACAATGATCAGATACCCATCCCTCCACCAGTGCCCATTTTCCACCACCATGGATAATATCCTCCCCACCCCCATCCCCCCATCCCCCCCTGCCTCTGTGGCAGGGCAATCCCCTGTGTTCTCTCTCTCCTTTTGAGTGCTGTGGTCTGCAAAAGAGGCATTGAGTGGCAAACATGTTCAGTCTATAGTCTACTTTCGACATGCATCTCCCCTCCTGGGAGGATCCTTCAAACATCCTTTATTTGGTGCTCCCTTCTCTATCTGAACTGCCCTTTCCTCTAGGATACCCGGCTGGCCTCTAAGTTATGGAGTAATCCTCCTGGTGCTGATCTCAGCTATTCTTGGGTATTAATCTCATACTTTGTTACTTTATATCCCCCAGATGAATGCAATCTTTCTATGTCTATCCCTCTCTTTCTGACTCATTTCGCTTAGCATGATACTTTCCATATTGTACCACTTGTATGTAAATTTCATGACTTCATCTTTTCTAAGAGCTACAGAGTACTCCATTGTGTAGATGTACCAAAGTTTCTTTAACCAGTCATCTGTTCGTGGGCATTCAGGTTTCTTCCAGTTTCTGGCTATTGTAAAGAGTGCTGCAATGAACAAACAAGTGAAGATGTCACTTCGACTATACATTTTTGCCTCTCTGGGATATATTCCCAGGAGTGGTATTGCTGGGTCAAATGGGAGCTCAATTTCTAATTTTTTGAGAATCGTCCATACTGTTTTCCAGAAGGGCTGAACCAGTGGACATTCCCACCAACAGTGAAGGAGTGTCCCTTTCTCGCCACATCCACGCCAGCATCAGTTGCTTTTGTTCTTTTGAATGTGGGCCAGTCTCTGAGGTGTGAAATGGTATCTCATTGTGGTTTTGATCTGCATCTCCCTGATGATTAATGATGTAGAGCATTTTCTCACAAATGGGACTATCTTAAATTAAGAAGCTTCTGTACCTCAAAAGATACAGTGACCAGAATACAAAGACAGTCTACAGAATCGAAAGTATATTTAACCAATACCCATCTGATAAGGGTTTGATATCAAGGATATATAAAGCACTGGCTAAACTCTACAAGAAGAAAACATCTAACCCTTAAAAAATGGGGTGATGAAATGAACAGAAACTTTCCCAAAGAAAAAATTCGAATGGCTAAAAGGCACATGAGAAAATGTTATACATCACTAATCATCAGGAAGATGCAGATCAAAACAACAATGAAATATCATCTCACACCACAGAGTCCGGCCCACATCCAAAAGAACAAAAGGGACTGGTGTTGGCGTGGATGTGGTGAGAAAGGAACTCTCCTTCACTGCTGGTGGGAATGGTGACTGGTTCAGCCCTTTTGGAAAACAGTATGAACAATTCTCAAAAAATTAGAAATTGAGCTACCTTTTGACCCACCAGTACCACTACTGGGAATATATCCCCAAGAGGCAAAATTACAGTTGAAATGACTTCTGCACTATGTTCATTGCTGCACTATTCAAAATAGCCAAAATCTGGAAAAAAAAAACCGAGTGCCTGATAATAGATGACTGGTTAAAGAAACTTTGGTACATCTATAAAATAGAGTACTATGCAGCTGTTAGAAAAGATGAGGTCATGAAATT